ACCAGAATCGCCAGCTTTTTGCAGCTGTTTCAGATCAGGGTTGTACCAGTAAAAGAACAGATCCCTCTCCCCTTCTTGCTGCCTTTGAGAGTGATTTGCAACACTACACGTCTTTCCCACAAAGCACTGTAAAAAAAACACATGGGAACAGATCTGGTCATTTTGCATCCTGAGTCACCTGGAGGTAACTGTAATCAAAGCAAACTCCCATTTCATTACCTTTATTTACTCTTTTATATGACAATATTACAGATGGTTAATCATCGTTTTACTAGATTAATTCTCTGCTTAGAGCACATCAACCTCTGCTGTTTGTAACAGTGAACATGAAGGGGGGTACTTTGTCTTTCACGAGTGCAGAGTTTGGCTGCTGCAACAGATACATTGAATAGTGGCTTTCCTGCATGAAAAGTATTGATTAGTCATGACCTGGAGTTCCTTTTGAAAAATTCTGTACATAAAGCTGTGATCTCAAAAAATTTACTTTGCAGGCTGCCTGAGTTCAGCTTCTAGGTTTGAAATACATGACTGAACAGCTTCTCATAGTTATCTTGCTTGTTAGTTCTCTTCTCTGCTAGGGTGTTTTACACTCTTATTTTCTGTCCTAGGTCATAGTAGAAATCTTGGTGGAACTTTTGGCTTAGGAAGACATATAAGAGTTGAAATGAAAATATGTCCCCAATACACTAAATTGTGGTGCCAAGGTGTATACAGTTTCAGGATGCACTTCTTTCATTCTTTATAATTCATGGCTTGAGATTTCAAACATCAGTGTTGTTCAGCAGTGCTTAATAGGGCTAGGTGGCTTATGTGAAAGAAATTATTTGCTGAAAAATATCACTTTAATTCTTTACAAAGCAGACCTGGATTTGCCAGTTGTGGACTACAACCCTACGACAAAATTGTTCTCAGGATTCAGGAAATTAAATTGAATTTCATCTCCTGAGAGTCAATCTCTGTATTCACTTTGACCTCCAGAGACAGACTTAAATGGTATGCTGTGGAATTCTAGATGCAGCATCTCCTAAATCTTTCCTGCCAGTAGTCCTACTTTTCTATACAATTATTATATGATCTCATAGCAATCATTTCTATACTTAGGATGGTTTTAGTTATTACACTTTTAGCACTGAGTGGAAGAACATCAGGGCTGAATGTCTTCAGACAAAAGGCAGCTGAATCAAAATCTTCTACATGCTTGGTAAATTTCCTAACACTGGATGTTGAGCTAAAAAAATAAGTCGAATTTCTCACAAGATCAATGCCTTTTGGTTTTCTGAGTACTTCTAATCTTTGGGTGGATTAAGCTGTTGAATACAACCCCAAATTTTTAAAATTTGGTTTAACTGAATGCCTCCTTGGTTAGCTGCAAAAATCAAAAAGTGTAAATGCTTTCATAGTGGTTTTTTGGTGATCTTCTATGACATCCTTATAATCTGGAGTAAAATGATAGATAAAGCCACACAAAAGAAGAAAAAAAACCCTCTGATGGCTTCCTGGAAACCTCCAGCACCTAGGGAGACATTCCCAGAAAATGACAAAAGGATTAAAAGGAAGGAGTGATGTGGAGATATATGTGGCCTTTTTTCTTGAACATCCTGGAACTCGGAAAGTGGACCCTTGGGTCTATTTCATCTGTCTATCACCCCCAAATTAGTTTATTGACTATAGCCACTCAAAACGCCTAAAGAAAAAAAGCTATAAAAAGAGATTAGACCCAAGCGAAGATCCAGGAGAAGTTCCATTAACTCTGTGGAGGTAATTGGTGGACTACCTTTTCTTCCTCCACCTTCTTGGAACGCCTTGGGGTGAGCGATTGCTTTATACATATATACTAATTTTACTTTTGCTCCATAGTACCTTAAGTTTTTTACTTATTACTTAATTGTAAGTTGCTTTTGTTTCAGAGTATGTGCCTATGCTTCATATTATTATTATTACTACAGAGCTTAAGTGTGCTTTTTGCAGTTAGACCCTATTCCAGACACAGCGAACCCCATAAATTGTAACAAATTTGCATTAATAAACGTGTTGTTTCATCAACTGTTAAAGTGAGTCCGTTTTGAGGTGCTGACAGTTTCTTCAATGGTGAAATAACTCATAGGAGAAACCTGCTGAGGAGTTTTTCTACCATTACTAAGTGCAGTCCCTGTATATAAAAGGTATCAAATGTCAGCGAATCTGTTAAGTGAAGGGTCTGAATAGGTGAGACGTTAACAGACTGTTTTGGATATTAAAAGGCTTTGATCTCCTGGAGGGGGGGACGCTGATAGACAAAAAATAAATTAATACAGGTTGAACAGAAAATTCTTCTTTTCTGCCCCTTTTAACGTGACACCTGGCAGGGGTGAAAAGGAAACAATGAAGTATACATCCTTTGTCACCAATACAGTAGAACAAAGCCTCACATATGACACTCTACTAAGCAAGATTAGTTTACTTAGGTATTGCAATTTTCAGGGTGAGTGCAAAATTGTCTGGAAACTACAGAGAGAGTAAAGTATCAATAATGCAATGTCAAATGTGGGAACATACGTTTTGCAGAACTCTGCAAGGATCTGTCCTGTCTCTGAACACACTAAAGTTCTTGTTAGCAGTCTGGATTGCAGAATTGAACAATTTTATTATATTTTTATATGACACAGGAAAATAGGCTTAAAATCAAAGTGATTTTGATAAACTGGGTAAACATTTTGGAAAAAAAAATTTCAATAAAGACAGTATAAACAGGAGAAATATTCAGCCATAGAAATAGAAACAATGAATTAGGTGTTCTTGGGGGAAACAAAACAAAACCAGAGCTTAAATTTTTTACAAAATGGTTATTAGTTAACAGGTTATTGCTGTTATAACCAAAGCTTCCATTCCATCTGGAAGCATGGAAAAAGAGAACACACTGTGACACATCCACAATTATCCTTCTTTTCTTATAAACACTTAAAAAGGTCTCAAATAGCTTATTAGATCGAGCTTTGTACATTGCTCTTCAAATACAATACAAATCAGTTGAAGACAGTCCTGATGAAAGCATGAAGCAATATCAGCTCTTCAGATGTCCTGGAGTGCCTATGGAACAGCGTTTGGAAGTGGACTTTAACTCTGTGAAGACTCTGCTTGCTGTCCCTTTGGTGGCTAACGTAACACTCTGAAATTACAGAAAGGAAGGTCCAGGTTAAACATTAAGGAACAGTTTGCAACAGCAAGTCAGAACAGATTGCCTGAGGAGGCTGGAGTGGTGCTATCGCTGGAGGACTTCAGAATTGGTTAGACAACCACTTGTCAAAAATGACACAGATGTAGCTGATTGTGCCTTAGGGCAGAGCCATGGAAGAGCTGACCTCACAAGGTCCCTTCCAGTCCTACTTTTATGTGAAGACCATTATGCTATTTCCTCCTATCCCACCTTCATCGTTCAGTTTTTCTGTTCCTCCCACAAGCTTTTTTTCATCTCCAGCTACTCTCCTAAAAATAACCTTTAACTGCCTCTTGTTTTATGCATATGTTGGAAATCCTTTCTGCACAAGACAGTTCTGTGGATGGACAAGACTGATCTCACCCATGGAAAAGGAGAGGACTGCTTCTCACCATTTGTAGAGATGCACTGTGGTTACAGAGAGAGGATTCTCACTGCAGGATTAAGACCTAGACAGAAATATTTTAGCCACTGATAGAAACATGGACTGTCACTGAAGTGGTAGCTTTCTATATGCAGGGCAGAAAAAAAAAAGTTGTTAAATATACCTTTATTTTTCAATATTCATTCTGAACACATTGATGTTACAAGTCTCGTACGCGTTTTCCCACTGTTTGCTGTGACAAAGCTTAAAAGGCACTAGGTCCTAGTAAGCTTAACCTGAGCGTCCTCCTATTTTGCTGAGAGGAGTTAGTTTGAGAAGAAAAGGTAATTGCACTGCGTAGTCAGAACAAGCAGCTGAACTCTGACCAAAAGCCCAAACGGGTCCGATTGCAACAAGCTGGGTACAAGTCGACATTGCTTTGAACATCTTCACTCGGTGCTGCTACCGAAGTGGGGGGTGATCGCGTTTCGGAGAAAGCTGGAGCTGCTGGGGTTGCGGCCGGGCAGCCTCGGGAAAGGCGGCGCCGGGGGGGAGCACAGGGAGAGCCCAGCAGGTGAGCGCCCTGACACTGCCCGCCGCAGCGGGCCGGGCCCCCAGGCAGGGAGCAGCCCGAGGGCTCTCCGCGCCGTTCCCCCCGCGTTTCACGTAGCGCCGAGGAGGACGGACCGGAACGGGAATTGCAAGCCCCATCGCCGGTGCGCGGCGGCAGAGCCGGCAGCAGCGGCAGCATCACTGCCCGGCTCCGGCCCGCGGAACCCGGGCCGGGCTCCGGCTCAGCGCCTCGCCCGCCAGGGCAAAATCCGCGGAGCCGGCGGATGGCGCATAGGGGGCAGCCGGGATGAAGGGGCGCGGTGGGGCGGGCCCGATGTCGCCTGCCCTCGGCCCGGCAGGCGCACGTGGTGGTGGGGGGCGCAGGGCCGCCCCTCCTTGCCTGCCTCCCTGGCGCGGAGGGGCGCGCTGTGCCGCTGCTCCGGCATCAGCTCTCTTCTGATGTTTTGGTGTGTTTGTCTTTTTTTTTTTTTTTTTTTTTGAACTCTTGCTTAGCAAATTGCGCTTGATGAGCTCATGATGCCGCGCCCCCCGGCCCGGTCCCGGGCAGGCAGCGGGACGTGAGGCGGGCGGGCGCGGCCAGCCGCGGGGGCTGCGCGCAGCGCCAGCGCTCCGGCGGAGCCGGGCGGAGGGGGCGCTCTTGGTCCCACGCTGCTTACTGGACTCGGGTTGTGGGGCTTTTCCCTCCTTTTTTTTTTTTTTTTTAAATATTTCTGTTGCCCCTCTCCCTCCGTGTGCCGAGCTGTTTGCCGCTGTGCGCGCAGGTGGATCCATGAGCTCCGCCAAGCGCGGCACCGCCGGCGCGCAGCACCGCGCCGGGGCGGGGGGAGCGGCCGCCAGCCTCGGCCCCGCCGCCGCTGCCGCCGCCGCGGGGGGCGGCCCCGCCCGGGCACGGCGTGGGCAGGCGTGAGGAGGGCGAAGTTTCTCCGCGGCGCCGGGCCCCTCGCAGGGACAGCGGGAAGGGAAGGACCTGGCCCCCGTGGTGCTGGGGGAGCTGACACCGCCGCCGCCAGCAGAGCAGCCCGGCTTTGGCCATGAAGAGGAAACAGAAGAGGTTTCTGCAAATGACGCTGCTCTTCACCGCGGCTCTGATTTTCCTGCCTGACATCGGCCTCTGGTCTCTCTACAAGGAGAAGCACCTGGTGAAGCCGCCCGAGCCCGCCGAGCCGCAGGTAGGTCCGAAGCTCCCCCCGCGGAGCCCAGCCCAGTCCAGCCCCGCCGCGCTGCCGCTTCCCGGGGCTCGGCCCGGCCCCTCTCTGCCTCCGGGCTGGGGGGGGCCCGGCCCCGCCGCGGGATGCGCCGAGCGGAGCGGGGAGCGGCAGCACGTGCACTCGTCCTGCCGCCGCGCCGGGGAGAGAAAGTTGTGAGCGAACATCTGAGCCCGCCGGGCTGGGCTTCCCCGGCAAGGACGGACGGGAGCAGCCACACAGGCTGCCTGTGAAATTAGGAGGACGTGGGATTTTGTGTTTTGTGTGCTTCGTCGGTGAGCCGAGAGTGATGCCGGGCTCTAATTTTCATTACGAAAAGTGGAGGTTTTACCGCAACTTTTGTCTGCCTGTCTGCAATAGTTCTCGGACTGATGTGTGGCTGTGGGTCCGGTGAAATTGCTCGAGATCCATCTAGGTGTCTTACCGCCGAGATTTTTTGTTTTCTCTTCTGTTGAAAACCCGACAGAAGTAACTGACAGTATTTTTCTCTTCTGAATATTATTATTGTGACCTGATACAGCTACACTATGTGTAACTGCTTGTCAGACTGATGTCACAATAAACTCCCGAATATTTTCAGTTTACTGTTTCCTCAATCACTATTATTAATAACAGTAGTTGACATAAACTGTTTTTTTTTCTTGAGTTATTCTTTGACTTGCTGGACTTGTGTATGGCTCGTAAATCACAGTATGACCTGCATTAAGTGAAGTTTAGTTTTAAGGAGTTGTTGTAATGCAGTCCTTTATAACCCTGCATGTAATTTACCAAAGTTTATGTTTGTTCTGTTCAACAGTGCTCCTACACTATAATTGTCAGTATAATTTAAATTTAACATATTTCATAGATCATTAGTAAGAAATTAAGGGATTGTCTGCTCTTTTAGCTTGTTTACCACTTGCATTGCCTTCATGTTAGAGTGTAGTAGATGGCATAATTTATAATTTCATTGTATTAGTAGTCTTCATTTCAGGGGTCATCACCCATGTATGTAATGCACTTTCCACATACCAAACTTATTTAAATCAATGACTTCAACTTAAGAGTAACATATTTGATTATTTGTTAATATAACTATCTATTACAGAGGTTAGTCCTCCAAAATATCGTAACTTGGTTAATGAAATATCCTGAATATTACTAGAGGAGGAAGTCAGGAATAGCTCTTAATTTGAAGCTTACTTTAACTTTCCTTGGGTTTTTAAAATGCAGTAGGTGTCAGCTGCTAGAATTTAGTTGGAAGTAATTTCTGCTGAAAGAAAATTATATACAATCATAAGTGTCTGTCATTAGTTTACAAGGTGCACACTGCAGCCTTTGCAGTTTCCAATGCAAATAATGATTGCCATGTGTGTTGCATGGCTTTTTAGAACACACATGCCTTGACATAAGATGATATTTCTAATGTTCAGGACTGCGCTCTTAAGCAAAGCATGATTAGTTAGCAGTCAAAGGGAGATACCTTTCTTTTTTAAATTTAAAAAAAAAATAAAGAAAGAAAAAAGGGTTGTGGATAAAGTGGTGGAAGAAAACGTTGGAAATGAGCAGTTGAGCATACATGAAGGGCTAGTGAGACTTGCTAATGAGACTCCAGAAAATTTTAAATCCTGAGTTTTCTGAAGAGGTCTTTTTACTAGCTTCCTTTTTTCTCTCACTTTTTTTTCTCCCCTTTCCCTTTTCTCCCAGCCAGAATACTAATTGAGGAGTAATGGGACTGTTTAATGGGAAAACAATAAAAATGAGCAATGCAACTTTGAACCTTACAACTGACTCTAGTGTTATTCTGTTATCATGAAATATCTGTTAGCATTGAAATCATGTTGGCAATGTCATTACCCAGTGGGGAAAAACAGGTTGAAGTACAGGCAAGTAATACAGTTAGGTTACTTTTGTCTTTAGCTGTGCACCATTATAACCCAAAATAATTAGAAGGAACATGGGGTTGAAATGCAAGTTTGAGTTCAAGTCCCTTAAATACAAAGGAAATGCTAAGACTTCTTTGAGACTTTACTAAAAATGAGGTCATGCTAGAAGATACTGCATTAGAAATAACATCATAGTAGAACTGTAACTTTCTTTTTCCCTAGTAATTTAGTAAGGCATGCAAGAATTTACACACTCAGCGCAGTCATTCTTTGCCCTTGAGGTGTTCAATTACTTTATACTTAGTCTGACTTAGCACAAGTTTGGAGGTCAGTCCTACTGAAACTGCAGCAGACTTTTCTTATGGATTCTAAGATTGTGTTAGGTTACATAGGTATGTATTCAGAGTCAGCATGTGATAGTGATGTATAGTCGGACTGCTGTGGTGTGTCTTGACCAGGGAAGAGAGGCAGAGCTATCTGTGACTTCGATAATTTGATTACAGGCTGAAGTGGTTTCACCCTCATGGGTAAAATGTGTGTCTAGTGGTATTCTAATATTGACAGTAATGTTTATAAACGTGCCATCTTGTTTTAAGAACAATTAAATTAATGTTATTGATCATCAGGTGTTTTTGAAGAGATGGCATAGGGAAATGATGTTTTGCCTAGTTACAAATTAAACTTCCCAATTCCTTGCTAAAACAGACATCCCCAAGCTTCCCTGTGAATGAGGGCTCTGTCAGCCTCGCCCATCAGTTCAGCTGTTTGCTAGAGCACCAGAGCAAAGGAGGGATAGCAGACTGATGGAGGAGGCATTGATATCCTGACAGCAGTAAGCAGAGAAGCTGTTTGAAAGCAGTCCACAATGCAAAAATAGGCTGTTTCTATCAGTGGTAGAACAGTGTCCCCTGGGGACTGTGTCATTCCCAGTGCCTAGAGGAGGTACTTGTATTCTTTAGTGCTGTCTAGAAATTCTTATATGAGAAAATTAAGTTGACTTTTTTATTCATTAAAATAGTGCTACAACAAGTTACATAAGAGTATTTTTTGTTACTGTGCAAATTCCGTTTCTGAGCAGAGAAGCTCTTTTGTAGGAGAAACTAAAAGACGAGAAAATGGTATTGACAACTGTGATTTCAGACAACATTAATGATTTTGTTCACTTTGCATGAATTCTGTAAACATTATTAATCTCTATGAACCTCCTTTTCATAGAAACTTTCTATAAGCTTTTGTGTTTTTGTAGGTTTTTCTCTTGAAAACTTAATAGGCTTGATCTTTATATTTTGATAATTGTTACTTACTTTTGGTTTCTCACAGTATTTAAAGTGGAGCTTCAAGAGTAAAGGTACCTATGTTAAGGTTCTGAGTTACATGCTGCAACAAGATCTTCATAAAATATAGTTTGATAGTAAAGTGGCACACAGGAGATAAAAAAATGATAATTTCTGGTTTAAATCTTTCTAAGTCTTCCTTGCTATATTGTGAGAATAAGGGAAGTTGAATAGGGTGTTTTTATTGCCTTTTTACAAAAGTCTTATTGCTTAACACATTATGGTGTCCTTGAGTTTTGATTACAGTTTCTACAGGTAGTTTAATTTAAGAGTCCTATCTGATCTTTTGATAAAATTCCGAAGCCGGTTTTTTGTATACTAAGTTATGCTAAT